CACAAAGACACATACATACACGCACACAAAGCCACTTGCTACATACACACAAAGACACATACACACACACACAAAGACATATGCACATACATAAAAAGACACATGCACATACACACAAAGATATACACAGGCACACACACAAAGACACATACACACACACACAAAGACACACGCACGCATACAAAGACATGCACATACACAAAGACACATGCATACATACACAAAGACACATGCACATACACACAAATACACATGCACACACACAAACACACATGCACACATGCACACACACAAAAAGACACATGCACACACACACACAAAGACACATGCACACATGCACACACACAAAAAGACACATACAAAGACATGCACATACACAAAGACACATGCATACATACACAAAGACACATGCACATACACACAAAGACACAAAACCACACACACAAAACACATGCACACATGCACACACACAAAAGACACATGCACACACACACAAAGACACATACACACACACACACAAAGCCACTTGCACATACACACAAAGACACATGCACACACACACAAGACACATGCACATACACACAAAGCCACATGCACCTACACACAATGCCACATGCACATACACACAAAGACACATGTACACACACACACAAGGACACATGCACATACACACAAAGACACATGCACACACACACAAACACAAAGACACACACACAAAGACGCACAAACACATGCACACACAAAAAGACACATGCACATATTCACACAAAGACACATACACACACACACAAAGCCACATGCACATACACACAAAGACACATGCACACACACACAAAGACACATGCACATATACACAAAGCCACATGCACTTACACACAATGTCAACACACAAAGACACATGTACACACACACACAAAGACACATGCACATACACACAAAGCCACATGCACATATACACCAAGACACATGCACATACATACACAAAGCCACATGCACATTCACACAAAGCCACATGCACATTCACACAAAGCCACATGCACATTCACACAAAGACAGATGCACACATACACAAAGACACATGCACATACACACAAAGCCACATGCACATACACACAAATACACATGCACACTGTGCACTTTTTGTGTCACTGCCATGGTACCAATTCGACATATGCGTTTCGTATGTATGTCTGCGAATGCTCACAGCGCCTGTTGTCGCCCCTCGCATACTTACACATGCACATACATACACAAAGCCACATGCACATTCACAAAAAGCCACATGCACATTCACACAAAGACACATGCACACATACACAAAGACACATGCACATACACACAAAGCCACATGCACATACACACAAATACACATACACACTGTGCACTTTTTGTGTCACTGCCATGGTACCAATTCGACATATGCGTTTCGTATGTATGTCTGCGAATGCTCACAGCGCCTGTTATCGCCCCTCGCATACTTTGCTGACACATTGTACATTCACTACCATTTGCTTCAAAGTTCATACATTCAATACAGTTGCCTTTGGATTTCGGCTGGTTATGCGATGATTGTTTTGATGCGCACACTTTGTTGGCTCTCACCACAGTTGCCATGGTTACATTGTGATTGCATGACAGATACTACGGCTGGGAGCTGTGGCCTATACCTACACGGGCTACTGGACGAGTCAGGTGAGTTAATTCAGCCCAAGTGCTTGACTACCCTATTTTATGTTCTCCTTTGCAACCTGATTGTATGTATATTATATCAAGTGTATGGATATGCTTATATATATATATATATATATATATATATATATATATATATATATATATATATATATATATATATATATATATATATATATATATATATATATATATATATATATATATATATATGCGTGTGTGTGTGTGTGTGTGTGTGTGTGTTTAGGAATTAACAAAAATATGCGTATGGGTTTTAAAGCTTAGGTTTTACGGTTTTCAGAAATCCTTAAAACGGTTTATTGCCACTGTATTGCACTGATTGTCAGTGACGTTTTGCCAACCCACAGACACCGCGCGACAGAGACGCTGCAAAGGATCCTGGACGAGTGATGTATGGGGACATCCTCTCACGCACACTTGTGCTGTTCCTCATAGGAGCCTCCTACGCAGGTGGGTCAACACAGCATAAGCACAGGATAAACACAGCATACGCACAATATAAACACAGCATAAACATTGCATAAACAAAGCATAAACATGGCATAAACACAGCATAAACATAGCATAAACACAGCATAAACACAGCATTATCACAGCATACGCACAACATTAACACAGCATACGCACAGCATAAACACAGCTTATGCACAGCATAAACACAGCATACGCACAGCATACGCACAGCATCAACACAGCATACGCACAGCATCAACACAGCATAAATACAGCATACACACAGCATTAACACAGTATACACACAGCATTAACACAGCATACGCACAGCATAAACACAGCATACGCACAGCATAAGCACAGCATACGCACAGCGTACGACACAGCGTATAACAGCTTTGGAATCGAATCTGTATTGCGTGTACTTTTTGAGTGCGTAAGGGGCACACGTATGAATGTTTACCTTGCACTCGTCACATGCCCATAGTTAAATGAGACTGACACTTAAGCGTATAGCCGCTTCCCTTCGTTCCCATGGCAACACATGGTGCAGTGTTGGCTCCGCTGATTCTGCCGTTCGTGACGTTGTTCTTCGCTGCGTCGTTGTTTGTGTGGAAGTATCAACTGACGTACGTCTACATCTCTCAAATGGACACGGGCGGTCTCTTCTGGTTTGTCAGCTTCCGCCGAATCATCTTCAGCACCATGTAAGTTATATACCACTTACACAGTAACCATGGAAACCACGTCAGTCATATACTACTCACACGGTAACCATAAAAACCTATGTACGTCATATACTACTCATATATAAACCATGTCAGTCATATGCCACGCGCACTGTCACCATTTGAAGTCAGTGGTATCTCTTCTTAACGTACAATGGCCCCCATGCTCACATGACACATACTCCATGTCTGGTATCTCTGTTTAACGTACGATTGCCCCCATGCTCACAATACAAAAAAGCCATGTCTGGTATCTCTGTTTAGCGTACGATTGCCTCCATGCTCACATTACACATACGCCATGTCTGGCATCTCTGTTTAACGTACATTTGCCCCCATGCTTCATGCTTACATGACCCATACGTCATGTCTGGTATCTCTGTTAACGTACGATTGCCCCCATGCTCACATGACACATACGCCATGTCTGGTATCTCTGTTTAACGTACAATTGCCCCCATGCTCGCATGACACATACGCCATGTCTGGTATCTCTGTTTAACGTACAATTGCCCCCATTCTTACATGACCCATACGTCATGTCTGGTATCTCTGTTTAACGTACGATTGCCCCCCATGCTCACATGACACGTACGCCATGTCTGGTATCTCTGTTTAACGTACAATTGCCCCCATGCTTACATGACCCATACGTCATGTCTGGTATCTCTGTTTAACGTACGATTGCCCCCATGCTCACATGACACGTACGCCATGTCTGGTATCTCTGTTTAACGTACAATTGCCCCCATGCTTACATGACCCATACGTCATGTCTGGTATCTCTGTTTAACGTACGATTGCCCCCATGCTCACATGACACGTACGCCATGTCTGGTATCTCTGTTTAACGTACAATTACCCCCATGCTTACATGACCCATACGTCCATGTCTGGTATCTCTGTTTAACGTACGATTGCCCCCATGCTTACATGACCCATACGTCATGTCTGGTATCTCTGTTTAACGTACGATTGCCCCCATGCTCACATGACACGTACGCCATGTCTGGTATCTCTGTTTAACGTACAATTGCCCCCATGCTCACATGACACATACGCCATGTCTGGTGCCGTTGCCCTCTGTCTACTACTCTGTGGTGGTGTGTCCACAGCTTTGCACAGATCACAGTGTTTGGGATCTTCAGCTTAAAGCAGTCGCTGGCAGGAGTGCTGGTGCTGCCCTTGCCTTTCATCAGGTACGTGGGGTTTTTTATTGGGTATTGTCTGTTTCATCAGCAAATGCATTACCTTTAATCGGGCGAGGCACTTACTTGTGAGTGCGTTTGTGCCTGGACAGCCGTTTATGAGTGTGTACACACATTCTGTAACCCCTAAATCCTTGACCATTGTACAAGAAATAATATGTACGTGTACGAATATGTTTTCTCAATCATATATACATGTACGTCTATGTTTGCCCGATCATATATACGTGTACGTATATGTTTCGCCATTAATATATATGTATACGATTATGTTTTCCCGATCGTATATTTTTGCATGTCTTTGTTGCCCGATCATATATATGTGTATGTCTATGTTTGCCCTATGATCTATACGTTTACGACGTTTCCTCGATGGTAAATACGTTTACGTCTATGTTTGCCCGATGATGTGTACGAGTAGGTCTATGTGTGTTCGATAATCAATTCGTTTACGACTATATTTGCTCGATCGTCTATCTGTTTACGTCTATGTTTGTTCGGTGATATATACGTGTACGTCTATGTTTCTCCGATTGGTATATACGGATATGTCTATGTTTTCCCGATCATATATACTTGTACGTATATTTCTGCCCGATTATATATTCGTGTACGACTATCTTTGCCCGATCATATATACGTTTACGACTATGTTGTCTGACCATATATACGTGTACGTCTATGTGGTCCGATGATATTTGTTCTCTGTGACCTATTATATTTTTTTTTGTAAATGATCCACTGCTTAGTACTGGGAACTCAATACTGCTTTAATGTTTATATAACACACACACCAACACTCGCAACTACCAAGTGCTTCACACAAACATCGGATGGTGACTGTAGTTCACTTGTAACATCATCACCTGTGCGCTGTAGTTTACTTACATCATCCTCACCTGTGTGTGTAGCTATGGTGTGTTGTACTACTACTCCAAGTGGTGGAAGCAGCGTGTGCTGTAGTTTACTTATATCATCCTCACCTGTGTGTGTAGCTATGGTGTGCTGTGTTACTACACCAAGTGGTGGAAGCAGCGTGTGCTGTAGTTCACTTATATATATATATATTATCCTCACCTGTGTGTGTAGCTATGGTGTGTTGTACTACTACACCAAGTGGTGGAAGCAGTGTGTGCTGTAGTTCACATACATATATATATATATATATCATCCTCACCTATGTGTGTATCTATGGTGTGTTGTACTACTACACCAAGTGGTGGAAGCAGCGTGGGCTGTAGTTCACTTACATATATATATATATTATCCTCACCTGTGTGTGTAGCTATAGTGTGTTGTACTACTACACCAAGTGGTGGAAGCAGCGTATGCTGTAGTTCACTTACATATATATATATCATCCTCACCTGTGTGTGTAGTTATGGTGTGTTGTATTACTACACCAAGGAGTGGAAGCAGTGTGTGCTGTAGTTCACTTACATATATATATATCATCCTCACCTGTGTGTGTAGCTATGGTGTGCTGTATTACTACACCAAGTGGTGGAAACAGCGTGTGCTGTAGTTCACTTACATATATATATATATCATCCTCACCTGTGTGTGTAGCTATGGTGTGTTGTATTACTACACCAAGTGGTGGAAACAGCGTGTGCTGTAGTTCACTTACATATATATATATATCATCCTCACCTGTGTGTGTAGCTATGGTGTGTTGTATTACTACACCAAGTGGTGGAAACAGTGTGTGCTGTAGTTCACTTATATATATATATCATCCTCACCTGTGTGTGTAGCTATGGTGTGTTGTACTACTACACCAAGTGGTGGAAGCAGCGTGCGCTGTTCCTGACGTTGGACGAGGCCATGCGCGCGGATCTGATAGTGCTGTCCAATCAGGAGGGCGGAAACACCAACGTCACGCAACTGGCGGACTACGGAGACATGTACCTACAGCCCATTCTCACGGTATGAGCGTTAGCACAGCTGTCCTCTATGTGTTAGTGTTTGTGCATGGGTGTGTTTGTTTGTGTATTAATGTTTGTGCATGGGTGTGTATGTTTATGTATTAATGTTTGTGTATAGGTGTGTTTGTTTATGCATTAGTGTTCGTGCATGGGTGTCTTTGTTTATGTATTAGTGTTTGTGCATGGGTGTGTTTGCTCTGTGTATGAGGGTGTGTATCTGCTGGTGTTTGTCTATGTATTTGTGTGTGTGTGTGTATGTGTTTTCTGGATGTATTTATGTATATGTGTGTGTATGTGTTTTCTGGATGTATTGATGTATGTGTGTGTGTATGTGTTTTCTGGATGTATTGATGTATGTGTGTGTGTATGTGTTTTCTGGATGTACTGATGTATGTGTGTGTTTGTGTGTTTTCAGGATGTATTGATGTATGTGTGCGTGTTTACTCTGTATATAGCTGTCGTTGCATGTGTTGAATTTGTTTGTTGTTCAGTGTACTGCTACATTCCATGACATCTTTGGTATTTTTTTATCCTCGCAATAGGGTTTAGAGTTTATTTCTATATTTGCAATTTTCCTTCCGCAGAGATTGTCTTCAACTGTGGAGTGTCCGGCATTGCTGCGTATGATCAGTTATATGATAATTCGGTAGTCGTTCCCTCATATATCGTAATGGCCATAGCCTAGCCTGGGGTTTTTAAGGTTTTCTGGGCGTGGCCCCTTGGTGATCTCTAAGCGTGGTTGCTATACGTAATGCTATAACCCTGTAAACCCTATGAACCGCAAAACCCCTTTTACCATGGTTATTCATCTGTGTTGCCAGGGTAAACCTATGTACCCTCGACTGACTGAGCAGTTTGTGGCGGACGACGACGACTCGCAGAATGAACTGACGCCTGAGGTCGCACAGCTCATGCGCGAGTTAGCAGGTAGGCGTAAAACCCTAAAACCCTTACTGTATACCCTAAACCCTAAACCCCTAAATGTATACCCTAAACCCTAGACCTTTTGGCAGATGAATGGATGGTTGGTACACTTCGGGAGGTGAATGCATGATTGTCCCTATTGGGTGGTGATCGTTATGTTTATGTGTGTATGGGTGTAGTAGATTGACTGTGTTTGGTTGCACTTGTCTGTTGGCTGGGTATGTTGCTGTGTACTTGACCGCTAGATTGACATGTTTCTGTGTGCTTATGTACTAGATTGACTTGTCGCTGTGTGCTTATGTACTAGATTGACATGTAGCTGTGTGCTTATGTACTAGATTGACATGTAACTTTGTGCTTATGTACGAGATTGACATGTAGCTGTGTGCTTGTGTACGAGATTGACATGTAGCTGTGTGCTTATGTACTATATTGACATGTAACTGTGTTCATGTACTAGATTGACATGCAGCTGTGTGCTTATGTACGAGATTGACATGTAGCTGTGTGCTTATGTACGAGATCGATATGTAGCTGTGTGCTTATGTACGAGATTGATATGTAGCTGTGTGCTTTTGTACTAGATTGACATGTAGCTGTGTGCTTATGTACTAGATTGACATGTAGCTATGTGTTTATGTACTGGATTGACTATGGTTTAACGGACCTGTGTGTTTGTTTGCACTGGCTTGCGATAGTCCGCAGCGTTCGTTGTACTCGATGATACAACAGATATTGCAATAACATTGGTCTAATAGCGGAGGTGTACCCCCTTAGCAGCATGCCTGTGCTTCTCCATGCTCGGTTGACTTTCTCCGATATTGCAATAACATTGGTCTATTAGCGGTATACCCCCTTAGCTGCATGCCTGTGCTTCTCCATGCTCATGCTCGGTTGGCTTGCTCTTGACCAGTTTTCTCGCATGACATATCACACACCAACAGAGAATGACATTGCAATAGACGAGATCGTAGACGAGGAACAGCCTCTGCTGGTTTCGCCGGAGTAGCCCCATCCATCCAACAACAAGACATGCTGCACAACCACTACAACAGTCATCAATGGGAGAAGTAGCAATCCGTATGAAATCGATGAATGATAACAAACATCAATCGAATTATGAGTATGATATTGAACATCAATCGATTTATCAGTATGATAGTAAACATCAGTCTATATGAGTATGATAATAAACATCAACCGATTGATGAGTATGATAGTAAAAATCAGTCAATTTATGAGTATGATATAAAACATCAATCACTTTATAAGTATAATATTGAACATCAGTCGATATATGCGTATGATAGTAAACATCAGTCTATATATAAGTATGATGTTAAACATCAATCGATTTATGAGTATGATAGCAAAGAACAGTCTATACATGAGTATGATAGTAAATATCAGTATATATATGAGTATGATAGTAAACATCAGTCTATATATGAGTATTATATAAAACATCAATCACTTTATGAGTATGATAGTAAAGAACAGTCTATATATGAGTATGATAGTAAAGAACAGTCTATATATGAGTATGATAGTAAATATCAGTATATATGAGTATGATAGTAAACATCAGTCTATATATGAGTATGATGTTCAACGACAATCGATTGATGATTATAGGAGTAAATATCAGTCTATATATGGGTATGATACTAAATATCAGTACGATAGAAACTACTAGTCTATATATGAGTATGATAGTAAACATCAGTCTATATATGAGTATGATAGTAAATATCAGTCATGCGTAAGATAGTAGATATCAGTCTACATATGAGTACGATAGTAAACATCAGTATATATATGAGTATGATACTAAACATCAATCTATTTATGAGTATGATAGTAAATATCAATCAATATATGAGTATGATAGTAAACATCAGTATATATATGTATGATATTAAACATCATCGATTGATGAGTATGATAGTAAATATCAGTCTATATATGGATATGATACTAAATATCAATATGATTGCATATATTAGTCTATATATGAGTATAATAGTAAATATCAGTCTATATGAATATGATAGTAAATATCAGTGTATATGTGAGTATGATATTAAACATCAATCGATTTATGCGTATGATAGTAAACATCAGTATATATATGAGTATAATATTAAACATCAATCAATTTATGAGTATGATAGCAAAGAACAGTCTATACATGAGTATGATAGTAAATATCAGTCTATACATGAGTATGATAGTAAACATCAGTATATATATGAGTATGATATTAAACATCAATCGATTTATGAGTATGATGGTAAAGAACAGTCAATACATGAGTATGATAGTAAATATCAGTCTATATATGAGTATGATAGTAAACATCAGTCTATATATGACTATGAAATAAAACATCAATCACTTTATGAGTATGATATTGAACATCAGTCGATATATGAGTATGATAGCAAATATCAGTATATATGAGTATGATAGTAAACATCAGTCTATATATGAGTAAGATATTCAACGTCAATCGATTGATGATTATAGGAGTAAATATCAGTCTATATATCGGTATGATGCTAAATATCAGTACGATAGTAACTATTAGGCTATATATGAGTATGATAGTAAATATCAGTCTATATGAGTATGATAGTAAATAACAGTCTATATATGAGTAAGATAGTAAATATCAGTCTATATATGAGTAAGATAGTAGATATCAGTCTATATATGAGTATGATAGTTGATATCAGTTTATATACGAGTATGATAGTAAATATCAGTCTATACATGAGTATGATAGTAAATATCAGTCTATATATGAGTATGATACTAAATATCAGTATGATAGTAAATATCAGTCTATATATGAGTATGATAGTAAATATCAGTCTATATATGAGTAAGATAGTAGATGTCATTCTATATATGAGTATGATAGTAAATATCAGTCTATATATGAGTATGATAGTGAATATCAGTCTATATACGAGTATGATAGTAAATAGCAGTCTATATATGAGTATTATAGTAGATATCAGTCTATATATGAGTATGATAGTAAATACCAGTCTATATGTGAGTATGATAGTAAATATCAGTCTATATATGAGTATGATAGTAAATATCATCTATATATGAGTATGATAGGAAATATCAGTCTATATATGAGTATGATAGTAAATATCTGTCTACTATATATGAGTATGATAGTAGATATCGGTCTATATACGAGTATGATATTAAACATCAATCGATTTATGAGTATATTATTAAACATCAATCGCTTTATGAGTATGATATTGTATTAATCGTTTTACGAGTATGATCTTAAACTCAATTGGCTCACAAGTATGACAATAAAGAACAATATTTATTGAGAATGATGTTCAACATTATTGGGTCCATGAGTACAGTCTTAGACATCAATTGATTCATGAGTATAACCTTTCTGTGTAGATGCAGTACCGCAGTTGGCCGTAGACACGTGGTGTGAATGTGAAAGGAATGATTGGGACAATACAATGAACGTTAATTCCGCACTGTTCATGCAGTTGAATTGCAATTGTTAGCGAAGCTCACCAGCTGACGTTGTGGACACAAAGACAAACACAGTATCGAGAATGATACGAAATCATAGCTACAAGAAGATTTAACAGTACAGAGCACACAGATATTAGCCCTGCAACGACATCTACCCCAGCATGCATCATGCATCATGCGACATGGTTTATTCGAAGCTTATAACAGAACTATGCGACATGGTTTATTCGTAATCTTGTAACAGAACCATACGACATGGTCTATTCATAAGCTTATAACAGAACCATACGACATGGTCTATTCATAAGCTTATAACAGAACCATGTGACATGGTTTATTCGTAAGCTTATAACAGAACCATGTGACATGGTTTATTCGTAAGTTTATAACAGAATCACCGAGATACGCACACACACTCGCACCGCTATAGAATAGCTGCGGACGAAATAGTCAGGCGGATGCCCATGGAGACACGGCGAGTGTGTTCATAGCACATTCCGTTGACTTTCGCACACCACTCGGTGTCCTGTCTCCAGACAGCGACACGAAAGTACCCACCCGCCCGTGTATTTCTAAGCCATGGTACTTTCGTGGTATGCGTGGTATTGGGGTGCAGCAAGAAAGCGTTTGAGGCTAGTAGTGTACGTTATGCATTCGTTTGCGCAGTGCCGTTCGTCCGTTGCCCACAGCCAACTGACACATACCAGTTGTAAACCTCGCCGTCACGTACAGACTGTATTGAATCGGTTGGTGCTGGTATTCAGTCACAATGCGTTGAACGTATTTCAAGTGTCTGGGGTGACCGTGGCACATCCGTCTCTTGTGCATACGCATGCCCATCTGTGAGAAGAAAACCACTCCCATCGCGTACAGTGCAGGGCGGAAAACAGACATCAACCGTAGCTAATACCAACACCAACAACTAAACCGGCAGCAACGCGACACTGACAATAGCCGCACCAACCAGTGCAAGCTTCTCAGCCGAGTCTGTGCAATGCGATGCCCGTATACCATGGCGACAGGTCATTGGACCGTACATACGGGTCAAGACTTTAGCCCACCTAGTCACTGTGCAAATGTTCCATAGCTCAGCTAATCATTGCGTGAGGAATCCATAGCTCAAGTAGGCAATGCGCACGTGCTTCATAGACAAAACATGTCAGTTATATCTACCCGCATCGCACTCATTAGCAGCACACACCAGATAAATGGGCCAAAATCTGGTCAACCATTGTACAACCACCTCATGCAACTACTCCTTACAACTACTTAGCCCGCTTGGCGCGTGCTTGTTCTCTGTTTTTGTTCATCTTCGCAGCAGCAGCAGCAAAAAACTCCTCCGATGGCTCCACAAACTCATCATCGTCCGCCTTGGCTGTGGCTGTGGCCTTGGCTGTGGCTGTGGCTGTGGCCTTGGCTGTGGCTGTGGCCTTCTTATTCTTAGGCCCCTTCTTCACATACTTAGCCTCCAACGCAGCCAGCATGGACTCAGCCTCGTCTCTGCGCTGTGCCTGTCTGCTTCTGATCATCGCTGCCAGATCCAACTCCTGCGCCGCTTCCTTGGTGTCTTCCTTGGTGGCATCCTTGCCGTGTGTAATGCGTTGGCGTTTGTCTTTTCCTTTGTGGTGAATATTTTCTTTCTCCTGCATCTCCCGGAGCATCTCGTCCGCCTCAGCGCTCTCTCGCTCAGCCTTGCGTTTGCGTGCAGCACTAGCCTTTGCAGATCGAGACTTGACAAAGGATTTGTACTTCTTCGCCTTCTTCTCTGCTATTGCTTCTTCGCATATCTTCACAAACCTGTCTACATCCACCACCTGTGCACACATTATCAGGTCAAGCATCTTGGTGACGTTGCCTTCTGTGGATTCGTATGCGCTCAGCACATCTTCTCGTTCCTCCTGCGACCCTTGGTACTCCGCCGTGAACTCTTTGATGGCATCGATCGACACTTTCTTGAATATCGCTCTGAAGTAATCGTCCCAATCCACGTCTCCATCCAAGTCAGCTCCTTCGTCATCGTCATCAACCACGCCTGTCTCATCATACGCCGAACGCTTAAGCGAGTCACTAAGAACGCTGTATACTTTACCCAGCAATTGAAACTTAGTTGTCTGCAGCGCTTTCTGCTCTATGTCAGTAGACGTGCACTTGTCGGGATGGTGAACACGTGCGAGCTTGAAATACGCCTTCTTGATCACAGCCGGCGAGCATTTGGAATATGTGATCCCTAACACCTCATACAGATTCTTCGTCTCAAAGTGATCCGTCAACTCTTCAACCAACCCCATTGTTGCAATTTCGTCGAGTGCGCGTGTGTCTCTTTTGCGCTGCGCCCAGTCACTCTGACCGCGTATGCTAAAAACTGCATTAGCTAATAACTGTTTTAAATACATACGCTGATGATGTAGATTAGAGAATATCACTCTGCGAGACTCTGACCTGGGGGCTGGGATATAGCTAACTGAAATTTTTGTTTTTGTTTTTTGAAAACAAAAGGGGGGGGAAATACGGAGTCGTCTATTTTTAAACGTCTGTGTGTTTCGTTAGAATTATTTTGCGCGCCACAAGTGTGCGACTGTGCGTGTACCATGGGAAATGTATTTACAAATTAGACCAATGAAATATACTAACACTTTTAGCGGGATCCTGGCAGTCATCGAATTCTCTAGCAGTAGAGTCAGGTGACAGGTCTCAAGGGTCATAAATAACGTAGAGCGTAGTTACGTTTAAAATCATTTCGTTTTAGGGTTTCCACAATCAATTCGTACACATGTGCTTAATGCACATGTATGTAGGGTTTTTGGGGGGGGTCTTTTCCGTACATACACTAGACACCTTTCTTTTTAAATTTAAAAAAGAGCAAACAACACTCATATAAATGAATAGTAGGTTTTCTAAGATGGGTTGGGGTCACGCAGCTCCCGCTGGCCGTCACCCACGTCCCACTTTCACTGGTCACGGTCCACAGCCCCTCAGCCTCAGGCCTGAGGCCCTGAGCCCTGAGGGTTTTGCCTCTGAGGCCTCTGCCCCACACCCGTGACCCACGCGCTCTATTTTTTACTAAATAAAATGTCGATATTACTATTTTTAGAGATTTCTTTTGACAGCGGGGACTGCCTGGGGGGTAAATAACGCCGGGACGGACGTTAAGACCTATATATTTTTTCCACAAACCCGAATGCAAAAGAAATGTAAAATAACAGTCCGACGTCCGTGATTTTGCTGAAATGTCTCACTTTGGGGCCTTAGGCCGTTCAGCGAGAACTCGCGAGACGATCAGACAATCAGTACCAGTGGGATGTGTCACGTGAGTTTTCCACTGACCCGCAGTCTTCCTCGACCGATTTTAGGGTTTTTTTGGTGAGTGTTTCTAATTTCTTTCGTTTGGGAATCTGGGCCTCTGGGGTTGATTTGTCACCGAGAACTTCAGAAGTGATGAGACACATTGATCCTTGCAGTCCTTAGTGTATTCGGCCGGGGTCTCATTTTGGTTTTCGGACCGGCTTGTGGGACTGGGTCTTGCGTTTAGATTATTTCTATAAAAACCTCCCCAGAAGACTTGTCCGGCACTTATGGAGTCATTATATTAGGGTTTATAGCATTTTAAATAAATAGAAACAATAAAAAATTTGTTGTTCATCGTGTAAATTTTGACCCAACATCCGGATGATGGACGATGAACGAAGTGGTGGCTGTAAAAGAAAGAAAACTCTGTTGTTTTGTATTTGTGTACTGTACAGTACATATTTGTTTGTTTGTTTTACAAAAATTGATAATGTATTGTAAAATCTTATTTTTCTCCTGGATCTGGACAACATCCCAGTGACCCCCGGAAATCGGGATCCAAGAAAACTACATCGTTAACTACATACTCAAATGTTGTTTATATAAGTTTGTATACCTCCGTAGTACAAAACCGATAGTCAACGATATGAAATATTACTCGAGAGTTTGACACATGTTGTAAACTGAACTAAATTCAACGACCAATACGAACAGAATTTGGGTAAAATTAGCGTTTATTGTGAGTAGAAGTGTATAGTTTTTAGGGATTGAAGATGATTTATTGGCGCAATCTCTTCTTTTGCCGCGGATGTATAATGTGTCTGGCGGTCTGACTATCTGAAAATAGTCTTCTGGTATGTGCCTAGCTATTTCAGTTTGCGACATTTGTACTTTTCTTCAAGTATCGAACACTTTGGAGTGTCAACAATGATTCCATACCTGATCGTTGGGCAAAAGTTTAATTTGAGACTAATAAAAGCAGCATTTATTTGACTACATAAAAATTTACGATAAATCTACAAGTCGCACAGATATTAGATAGGCATGCGGGCTGAGGCCAGTCTGAGGCTCCTTATCAGAAGAGATTCTCGTTTCAGAAAACGCACGTTTGCATTGGCTACCATGCAGAGCACGCATTCATGAGACTCCCACCGACCTCTCACCCTCTACTGAGAGAGAGTGTAGAGTAGGCCCAGGGCCGAAGGCCCAGGGCTCAGGGCTAAGGGCCCCAGACATGTATTTTTTTAAATATCTAGTATTTACCCCAAAATGAAACCGAAGGCCGCCGCCCGCGTGTGGGAAAAATGGACCACGGGAATCACTCTGAAGAGGGCCATGAGCCCATGACTGCACAGTGCGCACTGGGTTTCGGCTGTACTGACTACTGAGAGAGGTACTCGGGACCTCTTCTATAGGGCTTTAGGTTCCTCTATTTATGCCCTGCACTCTCAGTCATAGCTTTTTTGCTAAACAAAATATGTATAAAAATAATAAATAAATACCTCTTGTTAAATTCAGGAGGCTAATGGCTATGTCTGGAGACTTGAATACTATTTTACATATTTACTACTAATAAATATCTGCCCGCAACTTGTTTTGTGGTCAGTACTGTCACGTAACCCTTTCTACACACAACTAACTTGGAAGTCTTTCTGCTGCTATCACGAAGATGTCTTTGTTCAATTCGTTACGACGCATGCGCGCGCCACTCCTTGCCAGGTCAAGGATCATGCCCGCTCTGCTTCCGTGTCAGAAGCGCACATACTGTCCTCTGTTACCTTTAGAAACAGATGAAATCGCACCACCCAGCGATATCACCCCGCCATTTAATCTCGAGAAGGCTCTGCGAAAAACACGCACAGCCGAGGATGCGTGGAATACGCGGGACGCGGTCAAGATCAGCATGTGTTATGCCCCCGATTGTAAGTGGAGGAATCGCTCCCAGTTTCTTCACGGACGCGACGAGATTCAGGCGTTCTTAAAAACCAAGTATGTGTTGTGAAAATTGCTGTACGGAATATTTGCTGTGCTTTGGGGCTGCTTTATTGTTTGGTGCTATCTATACCGTTCCAACGATTGCTCGTTGCGCAAGGTTGTGTGCAGTGTACATAATTCGTTAACCGCGCAATTGCAATGTAACGTAGTTTTGTTAATAATACTGCTTGAGGTGATCCTGCCCTTGCTATATGTGATTCTTCGGAACCTCCGATTATTTGGTGTTGTCTGTCGAATGGTCAAAATCACGATCATTCAGGATATAAAGTTCGACTATTCTTTGTGGCTTGCGCTATGTTTTAGGCTCGCATAGCATCACGCAGTACGCAGTACGCAGTACGCATTTTTATACACAGATCATGAATGATATTCAAACAGATTATGAATGACATTAAACAGATTAGGAATGACATCTAAATAGATTGAGAATGACATTTAAAAAGATTAGGAATGATATTCAAACAGAGAATGAGTGATCACCCGTGTACATTTGACGTTTTGTCGCAGTGCAAGTTGCTTTGGAATCCCAACCCATTGCACCGCTCGTGTTTTGTGGCCATTTGTGATTGAGAGTTGACGCCTGCGGCTGATTCGTACACCCAGATGTGTTGGTTTGATTACGTGTTTGTGAGTGATTTGATGTTACTGTCACTGCTGGCATGTCAGCGTCTACTGCCACCATGTACGTGGTTGGCTAGTCCCTCTCCAGTCGCAACTCATTGTTGTCCATTCCACATACTGTTGATACGAATATGGGCTTGTGCGTGTAGCCGAATGGTTGTTTGTGCGTCGGTGCTGATATTTGTGTATGTATGGCCATGGCATGACCACGCTGTGGTGTGACTGACTTCTGTGTGCGCTTCATTCATGGCTGTGTTGTATGCTTGCATGATCTATCCTTGTCTGTTGCTCTAGTCACATGGCTGCTTCAGTGTTGTCCATCTCTGTATCTCTTTTGTGTCCGTGCTCGGGTCTGAAGTGTCGCTCATCCAATACACACCAGTGGCATAACAATCACTGCAAACAGGCATAACAATCACTGCAAACAATACACACCAGTGGCATAACAATCACTGCAAAAGTACACAGTATGCCCCAGCAGTCAGCGCCTTTGTCCTGTGACTCACTGCGACTGACTGTGACTCACTCGTATTCCCGCATCCACAGATGGGAGAAGGAGCTCGACTACCGATTGATCAAAGAGATGTGGTGCTACACAGACGACAAAATCGGCGTGCGCTTCCAATACGAATGGCGCGACGACAAAGGTCAGTGGTACAGATCATACGGCAACGAAATGTGGCACTTCAACGCCGACGGGATGATGTCCAGGCGCGAGGCTAGCATAAACGACGTCGCTATCACAGAGATTGACAGGAGATTCACTTGGCCCATTGGCGCACGCCCGGATTACCATCTGGGCCTAGCCAACTCACCCGAGTAGGGTTAGTGTTGTTGAGCAGTAGGGGGGTGGGGGTGGGCTTATATAGTATGTTATTGTATGTGACACAGGTCCACGGGGAAACGAATAAATGCGGCGCAGTATGCAACGACAATGAAGCTACAGGGAACTAGTATCTGTCACTGTGCGTGATACACAAAGTAGCTGCCATTGTGCATGATACAACTAGCAACTGTCACTATGTATAATATATATAACTAGCAGCTGTCACTGTGCATTATATATTTAACTAGTAACTGTTACCGTGTACTCTTTTTTTCAACTAGTAACTGTTACTGTGTACAATATATTTATCTGGTAACTGTTACCGTGTATATTATATTTTAACGTATCTGTCACTGTGCACAATATTCAACTAGTATTTGTTACTGTGTACAATATATTTGACTGTGAACAATATATTTAACTAGTAAATGTCACTGTATATAATATTTTTAAAAAGTAACTATTACTGTGTATACTATTTTTAAATAGTAACTGTTACTGTGTATAATATTTTAACTAGTAAATGTTACTTTATATAGTATATTCAACTAGTAACTGTCACTGTGTATAGTATATTGACCTAGTAACTGTCACTGTGTTTGATGTATTTAACTAGCAACCGTTGCTGCGAATAATATATTGAAGTAATAACTGTCACTGTGCGTAATACAAATAGGAACTGTTGCTGTGTACAATATATTGAAGTAGTAACTGTCACTGTGCATAATACAACTAGCAACTGTTGCAGTGTATAATATATTGAAGTCGTAACTGTCACTGTGCATAATACAACTAGCAACTGTTGCTGTGTATATTATATTGAAGTCGTAACTGTCACTGTGCATAATTCAACTAGCAACTGTTGCTGTGTATAATACATTGAAGAAATAACTGTCACTGTGCATAATACAACTATACTACTGTTGCTGTGTACAATATTTGAAGTAGTAATTGTCACTGTGCATAATACAACTAGCAACTGTTGCTGTGTGTAATAAATTGAAGTAGTAGCTGTCACTGTGTTTAATATATTAAACTAGTAACTGTTACTGTGTATATTATATTGAAGTAGTAACTGTCACTGCACGATTTAACAAGTAATTACCATGTCTTACACTTGCACAATCCACTTGTAATAGTTGGAATTGATAACAATTGGAAATGTTAGGTGGGAAAGGTAGGTGCACACACCGGGTGAGTTTGAGGGATGCTTGCTGGCCTATCGCAAGACAGTTCTGACGGAGTTTCAAAGGATAAGGGCGTGCGAGCCTACGGAGCTTTGTTCCTTGTTGTTTATTATTAGATGTATGACAAACATCTATCACTGATGACGACTAGTCTACGCTACTGACACCTGTGGTCGATATATTTGTTCCCAATTGTTTATTATAGAATATACCATTGATTATTGTAAGATGTCCCATTGTTTATTACAAGATGCACCATTGTCTATTATATGAGGCACCTTTGTTAAATATAAGATGTACCATTGCTAATTATAAGATGTCCCGTTATTTATTATATGATATATCATTGTTTATCATAAGATGTCCCATTTTTTATCATAAGATGTATCATTGTTTATTGTAACAGGTATCATTTTTTATAATAAGATGTATCATTGTTGTTTATAAAGTGTACCATAGTTCACTATAAGATGTCCCATTGTTTACTATAAGATGTACCTTTGTTTATTATAAGATGTGACATTGTCTAATATAAAATATATCATTGTTATTTATAAGATGTACAATTCTGTATTACAAGATGTCTCATTGTTTATATTAAGATGTACCATTCTTTATTATAAGATGTCCCATTGTTCATTATAAGTTGTCCCACTGTCTATTATCAGATATACCATTGTTTATAATAAGATGTATCATTGTTTATTATAAACTGTACCATGATGTATTATACGATATTATGAGATGTCACATTGTTTATTGTAAGATGCACCATTGTCAGTTTATATAAGATGTCTCATTGTTTATTACAAGATATGCCTTTGTTTATATCAACACGTCCATTGATTTATTATAAGATGTACAATTGTTTATAATAAGATGTCCCATTGTTTATTTAATATACTGCACCATTGTTTATTATAAGATTTACCATTATTAATTATAAGATGCACCATTGTCTAACATAAGATGTACCTTTGTTTATTGAAAGATGTCCCATTATTTATTATAAGATGTCCCATTGTTTATTATCAGATATATCATTGTTTATAATAAGATGTATCATTGTTTATTATAAACTGTACTATTGTTTATTATTAGATTTCCCGTAGTTTATTATAAGATGTATCATTGTATATTATGAGATACATCACTGTTTATTATAAGATGTCCCATTGTTTGTTATAAGATCTCCCATTGTTTATTATAAAATCTCCCATTGTTGATTATATGCTGTGTCATTATTTATTATAATATATACCATTGTTTATGTTAAGATGATTCTTATAGGATGCACCTGTTTGTAGTAGACTTTAAACAAAGTGCAAATATTTGTATGTATTTCTGACCTCACCTTTGATTTTATACCTAAGGTGATGTCTCAGCCTCACAATCCCTCAGAGTATTGCTGTTTTCACGAGGCATACCCAACTTTACTAAATGTCTTATTTCGTTTATTTACTTCGATATTTTCACGATACTCAGAATTTACCTACGCGTTTATTTATTCTATGGCGTTAATATCGCCTTGAGAGACAGAATCTTACACATTATAAAGTTAGCAAGGGTATTAGCTACTTAAACTACTTAAACGTGAAGGTAGAAAACCACCACACATTTTTTTTCTTGTTCAAGCTAGTCCTTAAAAGACCAGCTAGCAGTCATAAGTTAAGATTATGACCAAGAAAGACAATACTCCTTCTAAGAAACGTAGAGCTGAAAAGAAGAGGATGGAGAGAGACGCCGCGCTACTGCAGCCGCATTTAACGCGACCGCAGAAGAGGACAATCAATCCGTAACCGAAATCATTGCTACTGGTATTGATAACCAGAACAATACAACAGTGTAATAAGCCGGGCCTCCACATTAGACTCTATGTATAAAGGTACTCTTAAGCAAACATAAAGAGTTGATCTAGTTCTACTAATAGAGCTTTATTTACTTTCCAATTTTATTTGTATCTGAATACTTCGGTAGCGAGATGGCTCAACCGAATATAGGTTTCTAGGGACTATTAACGTTACCTAGTTGATCCTCTGATAAGCCAACCAGATGTGCCAGTCTGATGAAGGCTAAGTTGGTAATTCTCGATAGTGGCAAGTTATTAGATAAGACAATAACTAAAGACGTCAAGAGTATTTTTATTTTTATTTATTTTTTCTAAAGATAGGATTTTATGAGTCTATCGGATTCGCCCCAGAATAGAGCGACAACGAAACACTAAATAAAATCCCTTCGGCCGAAACAGTACTGAGAGGATTATATATAGGCAATGTCTCAGCCTCACAATCCCTCAGAGTATTGCTGTTTTCACGAGGCATACCTAACTTTATTAAACGTCTCATTTCGTTTATTTATATCGATATTTACACGATATATAGAATTTAGCTACGCGTTTATTTATTCTAAGGCATTAGTATCGCCTTTATTAGACCGAATCTTACACATTTTAAAGTTAGCAAAAGTATTAATTACTTAGACTACTTAAGCGTAAAGGTAAGTTAACTACCACAACATTTTTTTCTCTTGTCTAAGCTAGTCGTTAAGAGACAAGCTAGTAGTCATAAGTTAAGATTATGACTAAGAAAGACAACACTCTTTCTAAGAAGCGTAGAGCTGAAAAGAAGAAGATGGAGAGAGAAGTCGCTAACGCTGCCGCAGCTATTACTGCCGCGCAAGCAACCGACACCGCTGCTGATGCATTTAAGCGCACTGTAGCCAAAGCACTTACCGCTGACAATTATAGTCAAA